ATCTCCTCTCTGTCCCAGCCGCGCAGCACGTCTTTCTCCACACACACAAGGTGGCACAAATGTAACGCCATWGAAACCTATTATCATCTAATTGCACAGTAAGATAAAAGGCAACAAAACACCTGAGCAGGACTAAAACAAAAACAGATTAGAAAAATGTTGCCGTAGCAGCTGATAAGAAGTTGTTGCAACAAAACGGCGCCAGTTCATGAGACAGACGGTGTGTTGTGTTACTGTGAGAACCGGTTCTACCTGTCCAACTGCTGATGACATGACAGTTTGAATGAGAACTCCCTCCCCGATAACACACAACACTCATTTCGCATTTAGTGGAGCTTCACAAAAAGTATTCGATGGCATTAAAGATAAACCTTTCGTAGTAACAACAATCAGTCCAGCACACTTTGTCTGACATGCAGTATTTTTACAGCTTTTAACAATACCTCATAAAATAAGATGTAAAACTTCATCAAGAACATACTGAGTGATTAAATTATGAGTATACATTTTGGGTTTATGTTATAGATCTATGGACCGATATTTATTTATTGTTTTATGTATTTTAACTGTTTGTGTGCAGTCTTGTTTTTGGCCTACTGCTCCTGTCTGAGCCTTTCTATTTACCACCAGCCAGAGACAAATCTCATTTTATGCCAAGGTAATACAGACCCCGGTACCATCTTAGTCTGAAAAGAGTGGATCCTAAACCTGACCTCAAGTGTCTTTAGATCTCTGTCAGATGAAGATGTTTTTGAATTATTTGGAGGCACAAAGGATTCTGACTTGACATCTTGGACAAAGTTCAGGAGGTGTGGTGTTCCCAGTCTTTTTGTGTAGGGCTCGCTTCACTGGATGCTTTAGAGGCGTGTCTACTCCACACACCTAACTCAAAGAATTTCATTTCTTCAACAACCAGACATACAGTTYTTTGAAATACTGGTGACTCAGTGTTAACAAGGTGTGGTGTAGTAGGGAACCAGTTGCAACATGTAGAACAGTGCGTTTTGAGGGTCATGGTGTAGATGACATTCACCTTCTAGGATTTCAAAGAAGTTTCAAATAACCAGTAACAAACAGAATCTCTATTTTACAACCTAAAATTTTCTGCATTACAAGCATGTTTTCATTCATTTAGTTATTCTCACTTCAGTCATTCTTAAAGTGGTATTTTGTTAAATTGTTGTGAATAGTTAGCACAGTATTACCTGTAGCAGCAGTCATGGAACACCACATTTGGAAAAAGTCTATATCCATAAGTGGTGATTTATGACTGCTGAGTGACAGGACAGGGGCACTTCAGAGGGTCAATCAGATTTTAGCTGGGACAAATGCCCCTGTGGCTCCGCCCCTAAATAAAGAGGCAAAAGTCTTTATTACGACTTGGCTAATGGTTATCTAAAGCAGCTTGTTTTTTATTGTTTTCCAGTCTTATAAAACAGTCTCTCAGAAAGAACATACCAGTGTGAAACAACACTACATAAGCTAATGTGAAACCTTGTGAACGACACAGCTTTGGATAGCCACTGTTTTCTGAAATGAACAGAGTTCTTGTAGCTATGTCAGTGGTCTGCAACCTTTACGATCAAAAGAGACATTTCTGCTCCTTGTCTCACTAAAAAAATGTGTTCAGAGCCACAAAACAAGCTACAACTGTGATTATCAACAGGTGGTCCGTGGGCCTTTTCAAGGCCTTTTCGGAAACTTTTACGGTCGGTGGAAGTGACATAATAAAACAAAAAAAATGTTATTATTATTATTATACACATCAGGACAAATAAAAAGACCATATTCATGTAAACAAGAAACATGCCGTCTATAGTTTATACCAAATTTCATAAAACTAATACATCTGAATTATTGAGGCATTTTTTCCCCCACAATTCTTATTATTTTGTAGTCTTTAAATGATTTAACAGTAACCCTGATGGATTTGAAAGAAAGATCATAGAAAGAATTTGGAATATAATATGTTACATATAATATAATACATATATAATATGTTGTAAACAACAGGTTAGCATGAGCTAACATGTTTTACTTTTTGTATTAGTAGTAGATTTTTGATTACATATTTGCTTACAAATTGATTTCTGTTGTKGGTATAAAAAAAATAAAACCTATTTATTCTGTTATGTTTGGTCACATTTTCAAAGAGCCACTGCAGAGGGACCAAAGAGCCACATGTGGCCCCAGAGGTGCAGGTTGCAGACCCCTGAGCTATGTGAATATGTCTGTTGACCATGAACCTTAATGTACCGACAGTGCCGAGGCTGCAAAGGTATCAGTCTGGCTGATCGACTATCAGTCAGACCAAACTTGAACTCAACTCTTGGTGGACAGATACATTAAGCAACCTCTCAGCACTATCAGCATATCATGGCTCTATTCGCAGTTGTAAAACAAACACTGTTTAGTTGGAAAAAAAAACCCCACAACAAACTAAACAAATACTGTTGTGCAAGTGATGGAACATTAGCTAATGTAACATTCTTTACCCACTGGTGTGTTGTTTCTGTAAAAGACTGTTTTTAAGGCTGAAAAAACAAATACAAATCAGGCCCTTTTTGGCTAGCTATTATCCTACCCTGGACAAAGACTTTTGTCTTTTTATCCCAAGTCTTTGGTTCATGACTGTTGTCACAGCTGTCTGAAATATTGAAACCTACTTGACAGAACATCACTTCAAAAATTACCAGACATTCCCTTTACAGTTACAAATAAAACAAAATTTTGCAGAATAATAA